ACTACTAGTGGGCGACCTTGGTGCCTTAGACCCACTTCTACTGAAAGGTAACTCACCTCGTAAACCGGGTGTCGAATCTCGCAAAAAGTAGTCTCTAATAGCTGCTCTGATGATTCCTGGCTATCATAATCACATTAATACTCAATCAAAGTCTATAACACTACGTAGGGTTTCTGAAATGCTCATCTTGTTCAACTTTTGAACAGTTAACATTCACTCCCTACACTTTTAATCAATTTATGATTAATTCTAATTAAAACCAATTAACTAATTATCTTAATCTATCAAATCTATTCTAGCTATTTTAGCTATTGAAGGCTACCAAAAATGGATTTTGTTATTATTCGCAACATTATACTAATTTAATTATGACATTGAACACTTATTTCCAACATTTTAGTTGATAAAATTCCTTTATTTTATTTTATTTTTATTGTTTATTTAAGGATATCAAAACCATATAATTTAACAAAAGGTATTAAATAGTTAATTTATATCTTTGTAGATTTTACATGTGATTTATTTGTAATATCTTTCAATATATATAACATCATTTAATTTTATTTATATAACTCTACTAGGTGAGAGAACCGTGGAAACCATATATTATAAAATAGACAATGAAAGTAGATTGATAAAATTAAAAAAAAATAAAATAAAATTTCAATACTATACTATGTTGAAAAATGATTGTCAATGTAAGATGATATTATAATGTTAAAAAATGTTTTAAGTTTGTAGCAGAGTAGATAGTGTTCGGTGTCCAACTGTATTTAGAAAATAATATTTGAATTAAATTATATTCGATATCAAAATGAAATAAATTGATTAACTAGGTACTAATGTTTTGCAAGAATTATACTCATATGTATCAAAATAAAAAAAAACAAAAAAATATATTATTAAGATATGTTTTTTATTTTTTTATTTTTTTATGTATAATAATTTGTTAATAATAATAATTTAATAAACTATTTACGTATGTTAATGTTATAACCGTTGATTACACTTTTTAAAATTGACATTTTAATTAAAATGTTAATTGTTTAAAATGAAATTAACTGGATAATAAAAATTTGAGTTTTCATTTTATTATATATTCATACCGTGTATATCTATTTAACTCGACTTATAATTTTAAAAAGAAAATAATAAAATTAAATAAAAACTGAATAATTAAAAGAAAATATGTTAGATGTCATGTGTCACCTTATAAATAAAACTGAAAATTAAATATAAACTTTAGAAAAATAACATGTGACACATACAAATTATATATATATATATATATATATATATATATATATATATATATATATATATATATATATATATATATGATTTTAAAAATATTTATATTATGAAAAAATAACTTATTTAAAATATTATTTTAATCTCTTACAAATTTCTTTTACTATTTCTGCAACATTCCTCTTTAATTCGTGTATCTAAAAATGTTGGTAGTTTGATTTATTTCTTGACGATGGTCTAACTAGGATGTTTTTTAAACTATTATTTATTTATTTATGGTAAAGCAACATAAAAGAAAAAAAAACCGGATATTCTGAGTACAAATAAGATACTTCAAATTAATTGATAGATTTCAAAATAGCCCTTCAACTAAAACTCAAATTATTTATCTTTGTAATGAATAAAGTGCAAAAAATTGATGACATTATGATTTTATTAATTGTGACTTTGTGTAAGTGTTAAATGATTGTTAATGTCTGGTCGATATTTAACCTGATCTATACACATATTTATCGGTTTATCTTTTAATGTCACGATTTCAACAACTTATGTTTAAAACTACCTTAACAACATGGCTTATATGTTGCACCCGAATCCACTTCTTAGTCTTTTTTTTTTTTTTGAAACGGTAGCAAGAAACTAGAAACTGGGACCAAAAGATACAACACATATACATTAAAGGATTACAAACCACCAAAAGGAGAAACTAACCATTCATCCCAACTACATATTCCGTTTTTACCCCTATGCTTTAACCTATAGAAAGCTATTAGCTTAATACTTTCGGAACCATGAAGAGACAAAGTGACTTCAGTATGGAATAATCGTTTATTCCTAAACCTCCATAGATTTCAAAGCAAGCAGTAGCCTATGACAATAAACCTTTCCTACATTATTAAATGGTGGCAGATCACATGGTACACCACACCAACTTAAGATGTTATTCCTTATCACAGTAGCAAACGAACACTCCATCAAAACATGATCGATACATTCATGCGACCCAATACAGCACTACATAGCAATGAGTTTACCATAATACCCCTTTTCTCCAAAGCCAAAGCTGTAGGAATTCTGTCTTGGACAACCCTCCATATGAAACATGACACCTTGATCGGAATCACGTTACTCTATACCATATCCAACGTATCAGGAACGTTCCCATACATAGAATCAACAATCTTCCTGAGAGAACAGAAGTCGATTTTACTTTTTATGAGTTCCAACAACCTATAATTCTTTTTCTTTCACATGTACCGTTTGAAAGTTTGAACATTAATTAAGTATCTCACTCAATTTTGAGTTAGTTCAGAAAATGAGTTAATATCAAAACAATCTTTTTTCACAATCTTAAACACCAAATTCAGATTAACTTAATTTTCAGGTAGAAGCAACATTTTGAGAAGATCTCCTTTATCAGGAGGGTTAAAAATCATGATTTATTAGTTTTTTCGCAAAATTTTATTATTTTTAAACTTTGTTGACTTTTTCGTAATTTATTTACTTCCTAGGTGGATAAGGTTTCACTACTTAAGGACTCATTCATTGTTTCTTTGAAATCAAGTTTCTGATCATTAATAAATTAAGGGTTCTTTAAATCTGCAATTTTTCAATTTCTATGGAATCAACGAATTTTTAGTATTTTCTTCCTATTTTTTCCAAACACGCTTCATCATACATAAGAATCTAAATTGATTACAAAATTTTATATAATGCTCAAATAAATTAATAGTTGATAAATTGAAGGTGGTAGGTGGTGAGTAGTGAATTTTAGATGATATGTGGTAAATTTAAAGTAGCATGTGGCAACTAAATTTCTATTTTTTTTTCCTATTATAAATACCCATTTACATCCAAAATCACAATGTATATAAATCCATTGAAATGTCTCACATATAACCTTAATGAACATCATTATCGGTAAATTATGTTCATCCATCGATAACATGATAATGACACTTGGAATATCAATGTTCACTATAGTTAAACATATGATAGGGAAAAAGACATTTGTTAATTTCACATGATTAATATTTCCAAACCAGTCACGTTTAGTCCTGCTTGCTAAAGATCCAATGACATTCTAGATTTCTAGTTTACTAAATTTTGTTCAAAATAAGATATTATATATGATTCACATGTCCACCATAACAAAACTTATATTACTCTACTTCAACCAATCCTAAGCCGCAAACAATACCCATGATATAAGATTGGGATAACCTGACTAAAGGAAGTCTATAACAACAACCATAATGGTTATCAATGTTGCTTGCCTAAGTTCATGAGATATTTTTTGAACCTCATCAGGAACTGGGTACAAGATTTAACACTATTTATCATGCCTTGACAAAACATTATAGGTTGGGTCTGGTGATAGCAACTACTTTGAACATTAACCGTATACAGTCCCCTTTCAAAGGGACACTTCATATAAAGATCACTGGTAGCATTCACACTTGTATATTATAAAACACAAACCGAAAAGGTAAGAGTAAAATACATGAATGATCCCTGTAGTTTGGGTAATTTGTGTGTTTGGTCTCTAACTTACTTTTAACTTTGATGATCCCTACTATTTATTTTTGTTGTGCGTTTGGTTTCTGTCATACCTCAAAAGATTATTGTGTCCTTTTTAATTTATTTTTTAATTTGTGTTCTTATTTATGTATTTATTTTTTATATATTAAAAAAAAATAATAGACCTCACATATTTGCATCTTCTCACCCTAAACCTGAAATCACATTTGAGAAATTTAAGTTGGGTCCCACTAGTCAGCATCCTATCTCTCATCATCCTCAACTTTTATTTCCTTTCCATCTTTAGTGATATTGATGTCTTCATCATCTTTATTTTTTCGGTCCTTCAACTTCGACGAACCAACCCCACAACCCACTATCTCTTCATTGAATTTTCAACCACCACAACCCAATAGAAGGGTTATTATGTTGGTTCGCCGGAGTTGAAGGATCGAAATAAAAAAAGGGATAACGAAGACGTTGATATCATTAAAGATGGAAAGGAAAGAGAAGTTGCACAAATTACCCAAACTCCATGGACCATTCGTGTAATTTACTCTTATATTTTCGGTTTGTTCATATCTGGGTAACTAACTTCTTTTGTACACATCTAGGTAACAAACTTTTCGGAAGCGTTCACATATGACTATTATGATCGGTTATGACCGGATGTAACCTGCTACAGCCGGTCATAATGGTCATATGTGAATACTTCCAAAAATTTCGTTACTTAGATGTGTACAAAAAAAATAGTTATCAAGATGTGAAAAAACCAAAAAATTAATTAACTTATTAAATCCATTTCCCACACTATTCCGAAATGAAATGTTCAGAAGACAGTGGTTAGTTTTTAAAAACCGAAAAAAACTTGGTGATTGTTTTAATGAAACCGTTTATATGGGTTTTATGTAGGGGTGACAAATCGGGTCATCGTGTCGTGTTTTTGTCTGATACGACATGATACGATAATGTTTTATGTAACACAAACACGACACGACACGATGTCGTGTTTTTTTTTTAACTAACATGAAAACGAACCGATTAAAAAACGAAAAACACGACAACGATAACATAATAAAAAATTAGTTTATTTAATTAATATTTAATCATAAATAACACGAAAAACACGACAAACATGAAAAACACGAAAAATAAATGCTAATCGTATTAAATTTTAAACACGAACACAAAATGACATGACATCATATTTTTTACACTTAACACGAACACGAATTTCAATTTCATCCAAATTTTATTTCGTTTCGTATATTTTTATCGTGTCAGTGTCATCAAATTGCTCTTTCTTATCTAGTCCAATACCATGACAAACAATAAAGGCGTGCTTGTAATACGACGACGTAAAAGGGAAACGACCCTCATGCCACGTCAATCTCCACTGTCGCACGTGAGTTCTCCCTATATTAGATCTAACGGTTATCAAACACACAACTCGAGATTGAAAATTTTGAGTCGGTAAATCAGAGCTTATGGGGAAGGTATTTCTGTTCAATGCATTTGATTGGAAGCTTTCATTTCATTTAACTTCATATTCATGCATTTGAATGCTGTTTGTTTGATTCAGGAAGTACAGAAATCAGAAGTAGAGCCAAAACCGGTCGCCGATGGTAAAGAGGAATCAAAGGAGCCATCTCTACCTCCGCCGATTGTTTTAAGAGTGTTCATGCATTGCGAAGGATGTGCTAGCAAACTCCGGCGATGTCTCAAAGGATTCGAAGGTTTGTTATTTGTATCTGATCTTCGTTTATCTATTTATTTTTAATCTGAAGAAGTGGATTAATAATGCTTAACTGATAATGTTATTCGATCCAATGATATTTCAATTTTCAAAGGCTTCGATTGTTTGTTATTATATCTGGCTTTAATTTCTCTACTCCTTGCTCACTTGATAGATTGGATTAATTTTTTGAAAAATAATGTGATCCGATCAGGCGTTGAGGATGTTAAGACGGATTGTAAGACGCAAACGGTAGTAGTGAAGGGAGAGAAAGCAGATCCATTGAAGGTTCTAGAACGGATTCAGAAGAAGATTCACCGGCAAGTTGAGCTTCTCTCTCCGGTACCAAAACCTCCAGCTGATCAGCCTAAAAAAGTCGAAGATAAAGAGGCGTCGAAACCTGAAGAGAAGAAAGAGGAGGTTTGGAAATTAATAGATTTGTTCTGATAATCTCAGTTTCACTGAATCCAGTTTATTTGATTAGGGTTTATAATATCAAAACACAGGTTCCTCCACAGGTGATTACGGTGGTTTTAAAAGTTCATATGCATTGTGAAGCTTGTGCACAAGAAATCAGAAAACGCATAATGAAGATGAAAGGTAATTTCTTTTTCAAATTCTCAACACAATTTTTGATCAGCTATGAAATCCCACTTTCCGTAATCTGTAAATATTTTGAAAAATATCTTTGATTTGAACTTGTAATTCACTGAATTTCGTTTGAACTTTAAAGTCCATTACATTAACGTTAGGCTGAATTAAAGTTTGAAATGAATCAAACGTTAATGTGCGGGTCGGACGTTTGGTAAGGATCGGGTTGGATTGGTTTATCAATGCCTTTTCTCTTTCGGTTAAAGTTTATTAATAATTGATAAATTAAATGTCATCACAAAAACCAATATAGTTAGTATTCGTATGATTCCTTTTATATAGGGGTCTTATTGAGAATATAAATGTTTGATATGCTAAATATATTAAATATTTACCTATATCCATTTTTACCCACTTTAACTCGTTTATTTTATAAGCTAAGATTATAAATTTACTCATTTGATATTTGGAGATAGAATAGAGAGTTTGTCAAATTCATATTTTAGAATAGAGAGTTTGTCAAATTCATTATATTTTTAGATAAGTGCTCCAAAACTATGCATTTTTACCAAATTTGATTAAGAAAACCATGTGGAGTTGTCTATCTTTTGGCAGAAAAACCCTATATACCCTCATAAAAGTATTTTTAAGAGTTCAAAACTTGAAATAAATCAAAGTGACTCGATAGTGTAAAAAAGGTTTAAAAGTATTAAACTGTTTATTCACTTATTATGTTATGACATTGCTAAGATATATTTTTTGGACATTTTATGTGAATAAACAAAATTTGTCAAACACTAAGACTTTTCTTGGCCAAAATAAACTACCATATTACTACAATTTGTTGTTTGATATAAAATAGCTTATTTTAGCTTATAAGCTAGCTTTTGATAAGTTACTTTAAAACAGTTTTTGAAAAGCTTAGAGTTTTTACAAAAACATTCCAAAAATACACTTAATTATATATAATGTTAGTTTTTAGTTACATATCTAAATTTCCATTTAGTCATTTTACAATTGCAATCTAGTTTATAAACTATTTTTTTTATCAAACATTATTAATGTATAAACTAACTTTTTCAGTTACTCTCCTAAACATAACCTAAAAAACAATTTATCATCTTATTTTAGTATCAGCTAAACTAATTCAAACATTTTTTTAACTTGATTTTAATTTTTAAGACCGAATACTAATAAACATTTTTGTAAACAAACATAAGTTGTTTCAAATAAACAAGCCCAAACACCCTTAAAATGCAAAAGTTTTTCTAAAAGAAAATCTTAAAATATATAACCAAATCTTATCACAACCTTTTGATTTTTTTTTTTCATATTATCCTTTAAAAATGATTTTTACCATCGTAAGACAAAAGGAAATAATGTTTTTATTTTAACCTAATAATCATTTTCTTGAAAATATTTTGTTATGCTAATTCATTTAGTGTGTGTTCGATGCCACATAATCAAATAATTACTTTTTACCAAAAAAATAGTAATTATTTTCAAAATTCAATCCCAAACCTTAAATTTTAAATCTATATACTACATAATATCTCCTATTATAATATATATAATTATTTAAATCTTACTGAACAATATTTCTTTTTGAAATATCTTATTAAAAAAATGTATGCTTAAAAGCTAAAATTTATTTATGAATACTTAACAAAAGTATTTCAAATAAATAAAGACTATTAGTTAGTTGAATTTTCAGAGAAAGGTTTTTGAAACAGTTAACGTTAGCTTTTGTTAAAAGAAATTAGTAGGAAAAATCTATGATAGAAATTAACCACTGTGGATTCTCTTACGTTTTTCCATTTGTTGGCTGTATTGTATATCTCCTTTGCAATTCAATAGATCTTTTTGTGCAGGGGTGGAAAGTGCAGAAGCCGATCTAAAAAGTTCAGAGGTGGCGGTGAAAGGCACATTTGAGCCGCAGCAACTGGTGGAATACGTTACCAAGAAAGTAGGCAAACAGACTGCGATTGTGAAACAAGATCCAAAGCCCAAGGTACCTGAAGACGACAAAGGTAAAGATGCAAAAGTCAAGAAAAAGGAAAGCGATGCCGATAAGAAGAAGGAAGAGAAGAAACCGGAAGAAGCCGCCGGCGGCGGCGGAGAAGTAGCGGCGCAACCAAAGGAGGCGGCGAGCGGTGGAGAAGAGACGAAAGTCGTAGATTTGAGAAAGATTGAATTCAATTGTCACCAAACAAACCTTCCGAGATACGTGGTGGAATCGGTGTATGGTTATCCGGCAGCTCCACAGTTGTTCAGTGATGAGAATCCTAATGCGTGTTCTGTTATGTGAAAAGCCTGCTTCATTTCGTATTGTATCTCTTCTACCAATCAAATAAAATTATGCTAATATTTATGATCAAATTGAATTTCTTTTTTCACCTCCTTCTTTATGAATCACTCAAATACATCACCCCATTATTTTAAATTTCATTTTTTGTTTTTTTAGTAATCTATCAACGTCAAATTAATTTATTTCTAGTCTGTTTTAAAATCCATTTATGTTCCAAACGGGATTTGAATCTCAAGATTTAAAAAACAAAAAAACAACATTTAATATTATTAGGCTATAAACCCTTTAATTTCTAATAATATAATAATCAATTAATAATGTTAGGATAACGTATCGGTGGTGGTAGTTTAATATGTTTGTCAAAAATTGTTTGTTCCGTATAGAAAAAAAAAAATTAAAATATTATATGCTTAGTGGACTTGTTATTTTATCTGGGTCCTCCTATATACACGAATTATATACACGAATTATTGGTGTATTGGCATTCAATTCCGTGTCTATGTAAATTAATCAGTGTTTATAATTCTTTTTGTCAAACTTTCAATTAGGGTCCTCTAATATACATCAAATTTATAATTTTCCCCTTCTGCTTTGTAAAGTTTTATATATTAGGCTTCTACTTTTATTATTATATATATATATATATATATATATATATATATATATATATATATATATATATATATATATATATATATATATTAAAATGTTAACGTTTATCATTAGGAATTTAAATCCATTTTAAGTTTATTTTTTACTACGATATATTTTATCATTTTAAATTTATAATTTTAACGATCGATTTATTTAAAAAATTTTAACTTGTTTCTAGTAACATCTATTTAACCATCCTTACGTCAAATGTCAAGCCTTATATATATATATATATATATATATATATATATAATATATATAATATATATATATATAATATATATATATATAGCAGAAAACATTTATATTTATAGATAAAATTATAAGTTATATGAAACATTAACAAAAATAGAATGGATAAAAATAAAAACTTGGTTTCAATTTCTTTCAATATATAGACCATTGATATTTCTTATATGTTAGACTGAAAGCAATTAACAATGTCATTTTGAAAGTGACTTTCGTTAAAAGCAAACATATGATATTTGTTATAAATATAGATTATATTAAATGACTATTGTTTCAATGAAAGTAACTATTGTTTCAACGACACATCGCCATTCGAAACGGATATTCATCCAATGGACACAAATGAAGCAGATGAAAATCAAATGGACACAATAAGTATTTAATAGTTTAAAATTATATATATATATATATATATATATATATATATATATATATATATATATATATATATATATATATATAAGGCTTAGGGAATATGTAGCTGTTATGTACCTAATATTAGGTATAGATCCATTAAAAACAATATAGTTTTAATAAAATACAATCAAATCTCTCTACTATCTTTCTTGTATTCATTTTCCATATAACTCTTACCTATATATATATATATATATATATATATATATATATATATATATATATATATATATATATATATATATATATATATATATATAAAAGCTAAAGTTTCAAAAAGTATAAGGTATGATATGAAAATCAACTATAAATATAAGGGTATTTAATGAAAATTGAAAAGTAAACGTTTATTTAGTTTAATATATTAAAAAGTGTCAAAAACTTTCAGTGATGTATATTGAGTCAATCAAAAATTCGTACATTTGGAATTTAAGTCGTGCGGTTAGAATTACCCTTTTATCTTCTCCTATTCTAAAGTGTCACATGTCACCCATCTAAGTTCTAACCCTTATTTGTCATTCTTCTAATGCCTAATTTTTTTTCTTCTGTTTTATCTCTTATAAAACCCGTTTAAAAATCTTGCATATTAATGAAAAAATATATATTCAAATGTGGATAAATGTTCTCTTTAATTGAAATTTAAAATTTCATTCTTATCAAATGAAACATCCTTAAATAAAAATGTGTAATTTAATATAAGGGATAATGACTTAAAATGGTAATATATTTTTTGATTTGTAAACATTTGAACACTAAGTTTTTTTTTTCATCCACATTTACCCTTCAACTTGTTAAACTGTACACATTTAGCCCTTATGACCGGTTACTCCAGGTTAACCGGAAAAAATAACTTAATATGATAACATATTTCTCATTTTTACACATTTAGTCTTTAATATTTTTGTACACATTTAGTCCTTAATATATTTTTGTTTCAAAATAAGTCATTTTTGTTTTTTATACTCATTCAGTACTTATGAATGATTTCTTCAACTTGTTAAACTGTACACATTCAGCCCTACATGATCGTCCACATATTTACACCTGTAAAACATGATTGGTTTTGATTTTATAGAACATCCTCCGGATTTTGCTTTTGCATACACATTTCCCATTACTACTACGAAGACACAAAGAAAAACATCAAACAACACCAACTTAGTACTGCTCATTTATTTTTTTATTGATTATTGTTATGGTCTTCTAAACATATATAAAAAAAATAGGTTTTTTTTTTTTTTTTTAATTTTTTTAATTTTTATCATAGCATCTTACTGTCAATTCCTCCTAATAGAACATTGTGTTTTGAAAGTTCTACCCATTGCACGAGACTTGCTATAAATCAGAAATATAATGCTAAGAATATGCATAACTTGCATAATGGCCATTTGTGTTAATATTTTAAAATAAGTATATATTTTTTAACATATTGTTTTTTGATTTTTTGTCACATGTATGATATTTTTGCTTAATAGGGCAACATACTTTGATCATGAAAGGGTAATGTACTATAAAATGTTTATTTTTTCGGAAAATGCAATATAAGCAGGACAATTTGTTTCAATTTTTTTAAATCTCGACCACTTCATTTTAGTCAATATTCTTTACATAGGAACAATGTATGCATTTTTTTAAACATAGATCATTTAAACAAGGACCATTTTTTTAAAACACATATCATGTATGTGTGCTTTAATACAGTATTTAATTAATTTTATAGGGCATCGTACTATCTAATACATCCTATTATTAGTATGAACATCATATTTGGTATAATTATTTTTTTTATAACTAAAGCATTTATGTATCAGATACTATGTTTAATTAAATTTATAGAGTTTCACTATTCATCGATGTTAGTATTTAATTGATGACCATTTTTGTCCTTTTATTTTTGTATGTTTATAATTGTGTTGTATTAATTGGCAATGTACTTTACATTTTTTTTAAAAACCTATTTTACAACTATATGTCATGTCTAATACAAACTATTAAAATATTCCCCATATGGCAGCTACAAGTTTTACTTTTCTAAAAGAAATTGATCTTGCCAATCTTGATTTCACTATCAAAGTAAAAAATATTAAAGTTATGGACCCCTACTTCTAAAAAATTATATTTAACACTTCATCCTTATATATTATTGACCTAAAGTTTGTTCTTTTAAAAAAAGTTACAGAAATGTACTTTGAAAGTAAAGTGCTATAATTCATAATAGTTTGAAAGTACATTGATATATAGTAATTACTTTTCTTTTAAGTTTTTTTATTTACAATTTCATAGAATTGTAATTCTCATACTAATATACTTTCAAATTTACATTTCTTTATTAAATTGTATGACTTATATAGCAATGATTGCAATGTACGTTCAAATGTAAATAGCTATAATTTGCGAAAATCCAATATTGTTTTTACTTTTTAAACAAATTAACATTTTAATAATTAAATTCAATTCTATATTTTATAGCAATGTGCTATCTAATAAACTTTGTTATAATTTGTAAAAATGAAATCTTTTTGGAAACATCTTAGGATTCTAAAATTCAAGGTCGAATCTCTAATCTTATATTTACACAGTTAACATTCTATTAAAGTATATCTTGGTTACACATATGTTTAAAAAGGCTCAAAACAACATACTAATCTATAATGTTAGAATTTAGTTTAATTAAATTAACATTTTTTACATTTTTTTTTATTACGAATTAATTATTTTAGCTTATTTCTATTTTTCAGCTTGGATTCAGTTTGGAGTTATTTTCGCCCGAGCTTAATTTAAAAAAAAACCATTTGGCTTTCAAAGTAAACGTCACATATTACAATGTAAGGTACAAAACTAATATCTACTCTATCTTATGGGAAACCGAAGATAAGCAAATTATCAATTAGTTGCAAAAAAAAACTATTTATTGGGTAGGTAATCATTATTTAAATGTGTAGCCTGATAATTTAGAGTATCTGATAACTTCGCATAATATTTGTATTTGTTATTTTTTAGTTACCTTTATTTAATTTTAATTTTTGTAAAAATGTTTTAAATTCTTAAGATGTGAACTTTTTTCAATAATATTCATATTTGTTCTTTATATTTGTAGCCTTATAATTTAGAGTCTTTCAACTTGGTACTGATTAATTCGGAATCCCAAGAAAAGTCAATTATGAATGTATCATACAGTCACCTTTTAGTCAAACACACAAAATAATATTACTTTATTGACTATCATTTTATATTTTATAACATATTTTTAAGGATGTCACTCAATCCGGTGAAAATATAACTCCATTTAGTGTGAAGATTTTGACACCTCCAAGTCCTCATCATACATCATATGATATCTAATTGTATAGATTTCTGATGCAAGTTTGATGAAGTTTTTGATGTTGATGACAACGCGAATTCGTCGTCAACAAAGGTGCGTGTGGTAGCAGGAAATAAGGAGTTGAAGTTGTTGATTCCAAAAGTTGAAAAATAATGGTTATAAGGTTTTCATATCAACTACGACTATCGTTATATCCTTAGAATTATGGCGTTAAATTTTAGGTTGGAAATATTAATTACTTTTACGAAGTAATAAATATAAGTCTTATTAGAATTATACTATCTTGCATAATTTATACAATTACCGTCATACGTTATTATGGCTTATTTTGCTATTTTGTGCATATCTATGAATTAATGACTTAAGTGAATTTATAGCAACATGGTATCTAAATTGCAGACAAAGAATTATGTTTATTTAGTTTTCTAAATAATTCAGGTTCTCTTACAATCTTAAATATGTTACACTTTTTTAGCATTTAATATTTTTCTGATCTATATAATAATTATAATTATATCAACCGTGGTTTCCACATGTTATAAGCTAG